TTGGGTTTGTGTAAAAGGACAGAGAGAAGGGGGAGGGCTGGCCAGAGCACGGCCTCACCACCTCGTGACCGGCTGTGTGCAAGCCTTCTTGGCGCTTCTCCGTGGGTTATGAGCCGGAGGCATCTAGGGCATTCAAGTGTCTCCTGCAGGAAGATGGGGCTGCCAGACCTGCTGGTAACTGCGGCAGGGCTCCCCAGGCATAACTGAGGCTGGGGTCTCCAGGCATAACCAAGACTGGGGTCTCTGGGTGTTCACTGTTCACAGAGAGCCAAGAATTTTTTGTTTCTCCGTCTCCCGGGTCACGTCTCCGCAGGTACCTGGAGAGCGGAGGACTCACCTGTGTGGTCAGTGTTGAAGTCTGCTTTTGTTGTTATTTGCCAAAAAGTGGACTCGGACTCATCGTGATCTTATGTACAACAGAACGAAACACTGCCTGGTCCTGTGTCATCCTCACTATTGCCAATACACTCCAGTCCATTGTTGCAGTCACTTTGCCAATCCATCTCGCCGAGGGTCTCCCTCGCCCTCACTGGCCCTCTGCTTCACCAAACACAATGTCCTCCTCCAGCAATTGATCCTTCCCGATGATGAGTCCAAAGCAAGCAAGTTGGGCAATGTTGTTTTCATTGGCTAATTTTCAGAAGTAGATCCGTAGGGTTTTCATTAGCCAATTTTTGGATGTACATCGCCAGACCTTCTTCCTAGTCTGTCTTAGTCTGGAAGCTCCACTGAAACCTGTCTACCATGGGTGACCCTGCTGGTAGTTGAAATACTGGTGGCAAAGCTTCCAGCATCACAGCAACACACAAACCACAACAGTATGATACACTGACAGATGGGGGATGGGAAGCCTGCTGAGGGTCATTAAAGGTGTTCTGAGGAGATTCCTCTCTGCAGAGCGCCAGGGCCCAGGCTGACAGACAGACACGCCTAAGCAAATGTAGACCACTTTGCTTGATGCTAAGGCTAAGCCACCATGTTTGGAGTCTTCAGTCTTCCAGGAAAAGGTTCCTGCCACGCCGGTGCCATAGCTCAGGCGAGTAGAAGTAGCAAATGCCTGGAATGTGATCCAGATCATGTGTCGGGGGTGAAACGTGACCCCCAGATTACAGCAGGGAGGAAGCACTTGTATTTATCCTTCTCCCTCCTCTTGGGGAGCTCTGGGTTGCTCCCTGAGGCCCAGTTTGTGACCCATCTCAATGTCCTTTGGAAGAGGATGGGGGAGGAACCCAGGTCTATTCACGCAGAAAAACCAGTCAGCAGCAAAAGGAACACCCTTGATTTGGGTGTATTCACGTAGACGCACTTCAGGAAACAGACTTTACAGACGTTGAGAGGGAAAGAAAAAAATTGCAAAAGGACTTATTCATGTAAATAATTTTTTGCAACCTTTTTTTTTTACATAATTCTATTTAATCTGACTCACAGTGACCTATGCATTACATAGAGTAGAACGGCTTCATAGAGTTTTCCAGACTATAATCTTTACAGAAGCAGATTGCCAGGCCTTTCTTCTGTGGCACTGCTGGGTGGGTTCCAACTGCAAACCTTCAGGCTAGTAGTTCAGTGTAAACCGTTTGCACCACCTAGGTTAGGGACCTTATTTATGTGAGAGGATTTATTTATGATTTATTTATGATAAAAGCACAGAATGATAATGGATGCTTTTCAGGGACTCCTACACATGAAGTAAAAATACAGAATTACTTCCCATGACACACACCCTGGGGCTGGGGAGAGGCTGAGCCCTGTCTGGGGTGCTAAGTGCTTTCCAGAAGAGAGTTATTGGAAGCAAATATGGTAAAATGTTAACACCTGTCAAATCAGGGTGGTGGAGGGTACATGGGAGTCTGTTCGATTGTTTTTGGCTTTTTTTTTGGAAATATTTTACCATCATAAGTTAAAAAAAAATTTTTTTTAACGAGAGAGGAATGGTTAAATCATTTCCTAAAGATCTGTTCATTTTAAGAGCCCTTATTTTGTGGTTTTGAAGAAATCCAGTTTAAAAAACAGTGACTGGACCATGCCTGCAGATGTTTGACCTAGGACACTGCCAAGAAACACATCCTGGAGCCCGCGAGGCCAGGTGCCCTGGGGCAGCTGGTCCAGGACCCTTGCTGCCCAGGTGAGGACAGCAGGGGATGGGGGCTCCTGCCAACCTGCCCAGAGCCCCTGCCACCACTGCCCTCCAGCCTCCGAGAGAGAACGCCAGAAACAGGAAACCAAATTGTTAGTGAAGTTGGGAATGAGAACAGAAAAGAAACATTTCTTAAATAGAAAACAGCTACTATTTTAAGAATTCCTTATTTATATTTTCCGGACCCTGGAAACGGGAGGGTGCAGGGCTGTTGGATCTTTGCTTTTGCTTACCAGGCGCCCTGCCTTCCCGGCCTCAGCACACTTGAGCTCCTCTGAGGCACCCCTTAACTTCACAGCACACAAATGTGCCCAGGAATCTACCTCTTAAATAGTCGGGGCAGGAAATAAATTAACCGTAGAACTCATAGCATGTAGTTCCTTCCTGCATCAGGGTTGCTAGCACCTCTGTAAGTTGCTTGAACTCTGCATTGGCTCTGCAGCTTCTCTTTTGGGGAGCCAGGTGCCCGTGGGCAAAGCATCCAAAGGTACCTGCTGCATTTTCAGGAGTGAGACGCTGACACCTTCGACTCCAGGTTCAGTTTGCTGTCCTGGCAGATAAAGGTTCCAGGGAGAGCTGCACTTTGCTCCTGTGGTTCGACGACTGTTTTCCCTTTTCTCTGTGCCCTCTGCCAGCTTGGGGACACACGCAATCCTCTCCACACTACCATCTGCATCCCATGAGTGTGTCCATTTCACAGACAAATGTGGAAGATTAAACGGCCCAGCTGCCCAGTTGGTGTGTGTTTCCATTGGCACTGCCCCTGGCTGTCAGCCGCACCGGCATCTGTGGTTTGTCGCGTCAGTGTGTCGAAGAGTCTGTGTTTTCAAACTTTCGTTCTTTGTACCAGGGCTGCTGAGCTCTCCTGAGCTCTCTTATTTCTGCTTCAGGAGTCCCTTTGACTGAAAGTGGTTTCCCTGAAAAAAAAAAAAAAAAAGCGCAGAAACAAACGTTAAGACCGATCAGCATGTTTTGTTGTTGTTGTTGTTAGTTGCCATACATGATGACCTTGTATACAACAGAACAAAACATTGCCCGGTCCTGTGCCGTCCTCACAACTGGTATGTTTGAGCCCATTGTTGCAGCTATTGTGTCAGTCCATCTCATGGAGGGTTTCCCTTGTTTTCACTGACTCACTATGTTCTAGTAGAATATTCACTGGTGTGAAGAAATGTTCATGATCTATTGTTACTTTTTTTTTTTCATATAGTAATTCTATGTTTAATCATTTGAGGAACTGCCAAACTGTTTTCCATAGTGGGGGCCACATTTTACATTCCCACCAGCAATGGATGAGGGTTCCAGTTTCTCCACATCCTTGCCAACACTTGTTATTGTCTGTCTTTTTCATTATAGCCATCCTGGTAGGTGTGAAGTAATATCTCATATGGTTCTTCTTGAGGTTTGACACAGACTGTTCAGACTGTATATTTCTTCTCACATGAGTGCTGACAGTTTGTGTACCTCAAAGAATTGTCTAATCTCATCTAAGTTGATGTCTTGTTGAAGGGATACTGAGTTTCTCTTTGGGGTGATGAAAAACTTTTGGAAATAGACAGTGGTGACGGTTGCACAACATGGTGAATATAATTAATGTCACTGAATTGTACACATAACAATGGTTTGTGGGTATAAACTTGTTTGTAATATCTCCTTATTATCCTTTGATATCTTTAGGGTCTGTAGTGATGCCTCCTCTTTCATTTCTGATACTGTCTTTTTCTTTTTTATTAGTGTGGCTAAAGATTTATCAATCTTATTGATCATTTCAATGAAACTGATTTCTTCCTTTGTTTTTGTTTTTCAGTCTAACTAATTTCTGCCCTTATTTTTATTTCCTTCCTTCCGCTTGCTTTGGGTTTAATTTGATCTTTTTTAAATTTCTTAAGGTGGTAAATTAGATCATTGATTTGAGATCTTTCTCCTTTTAAACATTTTATTGTAGTTCAATATATATAACAAGAAAGTTGCCATTTTTAAGTGTACAGTTCGGTGACATCAATTACATTCACCGTGTTGTGCAACCATCACCACTATCCATTTCCAAAGTTTTTTTTATCACCTCAGACAGAAACTCTGTACCCTTTAAATAGGACATCAAGATTGATTACCATCCTGTCTGCCAGTTTGTCCCACTGTGGTGTCTTGCATGTTACTGTCATGGTAGAAGCTATGCTACTGGTATTTCAAATAACGGCAGGGTTATCCATGGTGGACAGATTTTAGCAGAGCTTCCAGATTAAGACAGACTAGGACCTGGTGATCGACATTTGAAAATCAGCCAATAAAAACCCTATGTATCACAACAGAATATTATCTGATATAGTGCTGGAAGATGAGCTCCCTAGGTTGTAAGGCACTCAAAATACACAGTGGCCTCAACAATGGATGGGTGAAGATGATGCAGGACTGGGCAATGTTTTGCTCTGTTGTACATGGGGTTGCCAGCCAGGAGTCGGAGCTGATTTGACAGCAACTAAACAGCAACAACGAGTAGAATATTTACTGACATAGAAAAATGTTCATCATCTTTTGTTACTTATTTTTAAATGGAATACAAACAACGTCTACTGTGTGATCCCATTGCTATAGAAACCCAGTCAGCACACTGTCTATATGCACAGATAGGGAGCTCACAGCAGTTATCTCTGGGCAGTGGGATCATGAAGGATTTCTATTTTCTTCCTTTATTTTATGTGGATTTTCTCATTTTCCTGAATGAATGTGAATTGCTTTTAAAAAGAATGTGAGTCAGTGAGCTGCACTGCTTGACTTTTTAAATGTAAAGTTATGGGAGGAGGGAGTGTTTAAACTGCCCCACGTCCCGAGCACCCCCCACAATCAGCCATGTTTTGTTTTTCAGTGACATTTTTGATGCCATGTTCCCCGTCACCCACATTGCTGGGGAGATCGTCATACAACAAGGTATGTCCGCTTTCTTTCGTCTCTACACCAAAGCTGATGGGGGTGGGGGTGGCGGTGGTGGCTTTTGTTATTCATTTAAAAAATTTATTAATATAAAGCCCTCATCATCTGTCCTCGAAAAAATTCATTAATGAAAGTTAAAAACAGTCTATTTAACATGTTAATCCAATATGTTTCAGTAGTCTTCTTTTTCTTCTTGTCATTAGGAAGAATTGGTGAGACCCAAAGTATTGCTTGACAATGGTTAGAGAGCAATGTGGTGAAGGTTGTTTATAAGAAAAACAAAAATGCTAGAGCTTATCTAAATGTCTTGATATACTCTTCATTGTGTATATGTATTTCTTTTGTTGTTACAGGGGATGAAGGAGATAATTTCTATGTAATTGATCAAGGAGAAGTAGACGTAAGTAGCTTTTACCTGTTTTTGGAGACTAGCACCTCTTTTCACACACAGTTTCATCAGACTTTGTGCCACATCGGGTCACTAACAGCCTCAGATTTAGGAAAAGCTTCGCTCTGGGTGATATCTTTCTAATTTTTTAATCCAGAACAGCAATAAACAAATCTCTGAAAAGACGATATGAAAGTAGCAGAGCACAGTCTGAAGTCAGAGTTTTTGCTAGCGGATGTTAGCAGTGCTTTTATTTCTGTTCATTTTCTTCCATGCCTACAGACTTCACTGGGATTCAAGCACACACACATTTTTTTGTTGTTCTGTTTTACTTAACGTTGTCCTCACATCAGCAGTATGTGAATACACCACTTTTACTCAACCACCTGGATGTTAACTTTTTTAACAATTTTATTTCTTTTGTTGTTGTTGTTGAGAGTATATAAAGCAGAACATAAACCAATTCAACAGTTTCTGCATGTACAATTCAGTGTGATTGATAGATTACATTCTTCGAGTTGTGCAACCATTCTCACCCTCTTTTTCTGAGTTGCTCCTCACCCATTAACATAAATTCACTGCCCCTAAGGTTCCTATCTAATCTTTTGAGTTGCTGCTGTCAATTTGATCCCATATAAATAGTTCTTAAAAGAGCATAATGCTCAAGGCAGACATTTTTTACTAGCTAGGATGTTAATTTTTTTTAGAAAATGGGAGGGTGTGGGGAACTAAATGTTCATAGACCCCAAAGCACTGATTTTATCATCAAACCAGCAATGGCTTTTCATGCTCAGCTTTTTGCTCCATTCTCACAACTCCCCCTGAGCTTTTACACTCACATCTCGTGGAATATCATTTTCTTTTCTTCTTTTTTTCCAGTCTTGCTCTATTTGATTATCTCCCCCCACCCCATCTTAAAAGCTGAGGGACCCACCGTTTCATCACATTTTTCTAGATCACATGAGCCCCTGGGTGGTGCAAACTGTTAACGCTGTTAGCTGCTAACCAAAAGTTTGGAGGTTTGAATCCTTCCAGAGGTGCCTTGGAAGAAAGGCCTGGCAATCTGCTTCTGAAAAATCAGCCATTGAAAACCCTAAGGAGCGCAGATTTCCTCTGACACACATGGGGTGGCCATGAGTCAAGGTTGACTTGACACCAAACAACAACAACTAGATTTCACATCATGCACTGTTTCAGAGGGACAGGTCCCTCCCTCAGCCATCTTCTCAGGAATACCGCCTTGGGTCACACGGCCAGCTGGAAACCAGGGCGGGGTCCCTGCCCTCTCCCCTGAGTTGGATCACTTCTGATCCTTCTAGTCCCTCAAGTGCATCTGGCTCCGTCGCCTCCTTGGCCACCTGGCCGGGCCCCCAGCATTCCTGGTTGGTGGCTCAGACCCTCCCTGGGCTCCTCAGTTCTGCACTTGCTCCTGCAGGCTGTTCTCTACCCAGCAGCTGAATTTGCAGTAGAACACAGATCTGAACCCGCCAGTCTCTTGCTTCAGACCCTCCTTCGGGTTTCTCTTTGAGTCATGCCCAAACCCGATAGTCTACAAGGGAACATGATCGTCTCTTGGTTCTTGGAACCCACCTGGCACTCAGCTGCCCCAGGACCTTAGCCCGTGTTGTCGCCGCTGCCTGAATGCCTTCATCCCCCTCACACTCACTTCCCTCAGCATGTTTACTCTGCCAGCTCCTTCTCCTTTGGGCTCAGCTTAAACATCACCCCTCAGATTGGGGGTGTCACTTCCTTGCATTGGGGGTTCAGCAGATGCACCTCATCTCTTGTTGTTTTCTCTCATAACACGGTGCAGTTTTCCTCTGCAGAATTTAGTTCTGTTCATGATTATGCATTTATGGTACAACCATTTGTTGAAGGCTGGCCTCCATGGCAGGCTGAGCACTCAGAGGGAGGGGCTGAGCAGTCAGAGGGAGGGACTGAGCCGTCCTGGGCATTGCTGCTCTGAGGGCCTGGCACATGGTCAGAGCACATCAGGGAGGCCCCGTAGGAGTGTCCTGGGGCTGCTGTAACCAAGTGCCACAACCCAAACCAAGAACCAAACCGGTTGCTGTAGAGTGGATTTCAACTCATAGCGACCCCATGCGTCAGAGGAGAACTGTGCTCCATAGGATTTTCAATGGCTGATTTTTCAGAAGTAGATAACCAGGCCTTTCTTCCAAGGCACCTCTGGGTGGGTTCAAACCGCTAACCTTCCAGTTAGTGGCTGAGTACACTAACGGTTTGCACAACCCCAGGACTGCAGTTGGTTTATAAGAACAGAAATTTACTGTCTCACAGTTCTGGAGGCCAGAAGTCCAAAATCAAGGTGTCAGCATAGCCCTTCCAAGGCTCTAGGTAGGGAGGATCCTCCCTTGTCTTTCTCAGCTTCTGTAGCCCAAGATGCATCATCACACTGCCGTATTCCCTCTGTATGTCTGTCTCTTCATCTCTTTTATAAGGACCCACTCAGATGGGATTAGAACCCACCCTACTCCAGTGTGACCTCATGTTAATGGAACTGATAACATCTTCAAAGACCCTATTTCCAAACAAGGTCATGTTCAAGGGTACCAAGTTTAGAACTTCATCGTGTCATTTTGGGGACAAAGTTCACCCCACAACAGGCCCTCAACACCATGTCCTTGGCTGACGTCCTGTGCCCTCTCTGGGCCTCTGCACACTAGCACCTGGAATGGCTCATTTGTGGCCACCAAGCCCCCCTCCTTCACCCCAAATCCTGCCCACACCTGCTCCATGAGGGGCCTCCTCCTGTCTCGGCTGGCAGCTGTGGGGCAACACCCCTCTGGCCACCTGGGCTGGGCTATTTTGAGGCTTGGCCTCCATGCCCATGTGTCTCTATATGCGCCTCTGAGCTATTTTGGGGCGGGCATTTATTTATTTATTTTTTTCCCTGGCAGCTGGCCCGTGTCAACTCCCCATTGCTGCCGCGTTTCTGGGAACTGGAGTGGGTTCGGGCCCAGCTTCCGGAGCTGGTGGCACAGGAAGTGCTGACTCATGCCGCATCACCGGCAGAGGCCACACGAGGTCCGCTCAGACCAGGGAGGGCTGGGCCTCCTGGTTGCCGAGGCACTCTCATCCTGGCCCAGGGTCATGCTGCTAGGGCATAGCCTCATGTCTGGGGCTTCCTGTCTCCACCAAAGAAGGAAACTGAGGCAGGAGCTAGCAGCTCCTTGGGATGTCTAGGTCTGAAGAGAATGTCTGCGGAGGAGGAAGGGTTTGAAAGCAGGGCCAGTGGCTTCCAACCCCGGGTTCAGATTGCCAGCCTAGCATCGTCTGTCATTGGCTTCGATTTGGATTTAGAAAAACACAAAACCCAAACCAAACCAGTTGCTGTGGAGTCTATTCTGATTATGGCGACCCCACATATGTGCTCCACAGGGTTTTCAGTGGCTGATTTTCAGAAGTGTATCACCAGGCCTTTCTTCCAAAGCACCTCTGGGGGGACTTGAACCACCAACCTTTTGGTTAACAGCTGAGTGTTTAACTGTTTGCACCACCCAGGGACTCCTTCTGTTCTTTAAAGCCACCCATTTGTGGTATTTCTGTGACAGCCACACTGGGAAGCTAATTCTCACCACTGCAAAGCGATCAGTGTTCTCAAACCTCCTCTGCTCTCCTCCCCTTCCCTTTCTTTTTCTTGCTCAAGTGTTTATTGAGGACTTGCTATGTACTGGCACTTGCTAGGCCGTGAGTGTACATCTGTGAGTAGGACAGCATGGCCCTGTCCAGGGAGTAGGTTGTGCTTTGGGGAGATGACCTTCCAAAGGAAATAGCAAATACAGCTTGTCCTGGATCTCTGAGCCTCCCACCCCTCTGTCCTTATTCCTGCTCAGCCTTGCAAACTCCTACTTATCCTTCAAGATCCACCCCGGGCCAGCTCCTCCCTATCCAGGCGGACATCTCACAGCTGGCCTCTCCTGCTGCTGCTCTTTATAAGTACTGGACTGTGGGCTGACCCATGTCCTTCCCCCTGGAATGTTCTTCCCTCTTCTGTGTCTACACTGATCTTCCTGTTCAGTGCACAGACATTTTCGCAGAGACGATTGTCATCACTAGAGCAGGAAGCAGAGATGGGGAGCTGAAATGACCCTGGGGAGTCCTGAAGCCCTGCATTCCTCGGTTCTCCTAGATGGACAGACTTGGGAAATGGCAAACCCTTTGCCCTGAGTCCTTCACCTCTTCTTTGACGGAGCCAGCAAGGCTCAACAGTGAAGTCCCACAGGACTTGCCTTCTTAACAAACGCGTCATCCAAAGACAGGAGAAGGGTCAAAATACCGCAGGCTTTGAGGGCAGAGTGCATGAGAAAGCTGGAGGGTAAAAAAAGGAGACAGAAGAAGAAATGATGAATTCCAGTTGTGGTATTGCTGAAGAATACTGAATACATCGTGGGCTGCCAGAAGAATGAACAAATCAGTCTTAGAAGAAACAGAACAAGAATGTTCCTTAGAAGGTAGGCTGGTGAGACTTTGGCTTGCTTACCATGGACACGTCATTAGGAATAACTAATCGCTAGAAAAGGCCATCATGTTTGGTAAAGTAGAGGGTCATTGAAAATGAAGGAAACCCTCAGTGAGATGGATTGACATAAGAGCCACAACAATGGACTCAAACACGACAATGATCATGCAGAAGATGCAGGACTGGGTGACGTTTTGTTCTGTTGTACATAAGATCACCACAAGTCAGAGTCAACTCAATGGCAGCTAACAACAGTCAGAGGCAGAGAAATCCAGACTTTCATTCACTAGCTGGGCCACCCTGGCCAAGGTACTTATGTTTGTGAGCCACAGGATTTACATATCACTCATGGGAAATCGATGCTCAGCTCACAGACTGCCTGAAGACTAAATGAGAGGATTCTATGATGCACTGCATCAGTACCAGGTGTCGAGAAGGTGAAGGCTGTCAGCTGTCTCCCTTCCTCTCCGGCGAAGTCTGCGTGTGTAGACTCTCTCTCACATGAAGGTGCCTGCCCCCCAACTCCAGTGCC